ACCCTTTCAGTCAGCAGGTTATCCCGAACTGATGAACATCATTCAAGTTTTGGTGCTGAGAATCCAGTCTAATCTCCTCTTGGTTGCTGCCACCAGAAAATTTACCATACAAATTACTTTAAACACATTTTAATAGATGATGTGCCACGCTGAGGTGGTCCAGCACAGAAAGAGTTAAACTCTTTCCTAGTTTCAGTCTGAAAGCAACTTTAAATACTACTCTGAAAAGTAACAACTATACAAGGACAAAAAGAGGCTCTAATCCAAGGTCTTCTTAAGCATATTTAAATAACCTTTCAGAYACACTTGACAGCAACACATAGAGATTTAAGTTATTAAATCAGTACATAGTGTGAAAACATAAGATAATTAACAGTCTCGGCAACAAAAAGCTTATAAGCAAGTACAAGATAAGAGATTAAAAATGGTACCACAAATACAGAGAAACAAGGAAAACGCAACTAGGTATATCACAGTGAGACTAAATCACACATTTAATAGCCCTGAGTCTCAACCAGCCATCCTATAACWCTGACAAGCTTTGGAGTCCCTGCAGAACCTCAGTTTTCAGGAAGCTTGGAGGAGGAATAATGATTTATTCCAGGAGCTCTTTCCAGGCTGGCATAAAAATTTATACTTGAGCAATGGGTGCTAGTGAGAAGCAGGATTCTCACCTTGATAGTGAATGAGCAGTGCTGGTTACAGAAAGGACAGATAAAAGAGAGCTTCGGAAGTGAAAACTAATACCTTGTGCCCCACACAGAYCAGAAGTGGGATACAGTTTGCATGTCCAAAGCAGAGGGCAAATGCAGTTAATTTTGTTTTAGCATTCTAAATGCATTAGAGCATCTTAGAGCCTCTGGAGTTGTGGRACAGAATTACCGTGGCTGGTGAGCYACACCCAGTGTCCTGCTGCTKWGTCCCAGCTGCCCCAGCACTAATGCTCATAACTGACGGGTGCCTTTCGGCTTTGGGAACCCTCTCACTCACTGTTTTTGCAGAAAGACTGGCAAAGTGAACAGAGATGTCTGATGTCAAAAGAAAAACCATGAAAGTTCAGCAGAAATAGTGAAAAGATGTATACATATTCTTTCTTTGAAGACTTTAATCCAAATATTTAATTGACCAACYTTTTTTAGACTGACCTGTTCATCTACTATCATATAACAAAGAAARATGAGAGATATGGTTGCTGATTAATCTGTAGGACTGCAGCACTGTAATCTTGATAACACACTACATGCCACAATAGGTACTCACAATAACAGGTTCCCAAACCATTGTCTGTGCATCTGTCAACCAAGAGATGGTTATTTAGGGTTCAGTGACCCAAGAACCAGGACATGCACAACGAAATTGTGTTAATATAACATCAGTAATTTTATCAGCAAGGCACATCTCAAAGATTGTTGACACAAACAGGATTATTAGAGGAACCCCAAAAGCGCAAGAAAATGATGATTGCAAAGGCCTTGAAAATCCAGACACTGATGTCAGTGGCCAAATTGTGTTCACTACAGGAATGCAACCTTGTAAACTAGACAACACTGCGTCCAGGGGTAACAAAGAGACCACATGGCATGATTCCAAGAGATGTAAAAGACTTGTGGTAAAACATGGGAYGAYGTGGAATTGCTGGCCAGTAAATCAATGGTCAGTAAGTGGATGGTGGCAGCAAATGAAGAAAAATAACCCTAAGTGAAACTCAGAGCAAAGAGGAAGAAAACTTTAACAGTGTGTTCTCCTTATGAAGAACATAAGACACTGAAAACTTGGTATAACCACCTACCCATCTCTTTTTGGAGAAGCAGACACCTCCTACCCCATGCTGGCGTTTGGACCTCCAAGGTTAGGGACAGGGCAAGCATAACACAAGAGTTACTACATCTGAGAGTAGATGCCAGAAAGTTTGTGTATGTGAACTTCAACTACTTYATTAATAGGAATTAGCAATAATTTTCTGGTCTAAGATGTTCACCTTCATTTCACCTGGACTGATAATGCAGTTTTGAATAGATTTTGCTAGCTCAGTTACACTAAATAATAAATTTCTGAATGTGTATGTAAAGTTTCTTTTAAATCACAAGGGAAGTTGGGTATCCTGCACTTGGGGCAGTTATYAAAATGCATAGAATCTTTTTTTGCAATGATCACAACTTTGTGATCCCTGCTGGGTATTATGAGGATGAACAAGGCTTGGAGTCCATCCAAGAACTTCAATTGTATGATTTTTCCTTTTACACAAAGTAAACTACCTCGGAAATTTTGATCAGAAAGAGTAAAACTGGATTTTCTGGGAAATGAAGGGAGACCTAGGTCATTGCTGCTRCTCAGAGAGGATGGAGGCTACACAGATCCTGGCCAGAAACACTTGGTGCCACAAGATGGCAATCATGCATTTCCCACAGCCCTCACTGCGGTAGAAGGTTCCGGAAGTTCAGTAGCATCAAGGAGCAGGGGAGCTACAACGCATCAAGGCAATATAAACAAAAGTCAGCTCAGGAAAGCAGTCATTATAATATGTTGCACAATTTATTTCTTTTAATAGTTTATTAAGCTATCTTTATAACAGAAAAGTTACATGAGGCATGGAAACATGAAACTAATCATGCTAATCCTATTTTGGCAATTTTCCCATAACACTGGGAACATTCAGGGCCTTGTGATTAGGACTTGTTACCACTGTTAGAAAGAATGATTCACTCCCCTAAGGGGATTTTGGCAAGAGGGAAATGGTGGAAAGAGATAAGAGTGGAAATCTGTGGAAGAAGCCAGAAGTGTTTTAGAAAAAAAAATTATCTAYATATGTGCACACATATGTACACAAAGTATATCTATTATTTATCATCTGTATATATACATTGCATATTTGACCTTTACCACATTACACACAGTGTGCATATATATACACACTGCTGCAAGTGCTGCAAAAAAGCACGAACAAGCAAGGTAAAAAATAGCAAACGAGCATACAGAATTAAGAACTAGGTTTCAAAGTTTGAAATTTCTGTTAGTTTGGGTAAATGTATGGCAAGATAAGTTGAAGGATACGTGCATTACCAAAAGCAGAAAAGGAAATACTTAGACTTCTGCATTAAAAAAAAATAATAATCAAGTACACAATTCCAAGTCCTGAAGTATTCTAAAGCAACCCAAAATACCAGAGCAGCATTTGTTACTTTACTCCCTCATAAACAAGGAGTTCTGGGATAGCATGGTTCTCCCCTGAGACCCGTAAGTGGTGAATCAAACCCCCCAAAATCCCCAGACCTCAGGGAAACACCAGGAGACAGAGAGGTGTCCTTCAGAGCGGATTCCCTATGCTGGCTGACTCGCCACCTCTCACAGAATTGGTCTGTCAGCATTTGATACAAGGCTGAATGGAATGTTACACAGACCAACTTCAGTCTGCACCTAACCACATACAGTTATATACAAGCTACAGGCAACATATAGATTCTAATCTGGACGTGTAATTCTAAATCAAAGGGACAGCAAGCTTCACTGGACAAAAACAGAAGATATTGATGTWGTACAGACTAAGTTCATGTCATGTGCTGCTTTTGGCGAGAACATCAAAGCCACCAAATATGCTATGTCTGCATGGCAACAGTGGAGGAATTTTATTTTTCTAATTAAAATTATAATGAACCCCTGAGAGAAATAAGCACAACAAAACAACTGTTGACAGTATTAATGCCAGCAAATGAGGTTATAATTCAGTAAATTGATTGTGTACATTGTGCTCATCAGCAGCCAAATCATATTCATGACTTGCTGTCAACAGACAGATTTTGAATACATTTYGCTTTTTTCCCCAAGCTGCACAGCTTCCCAACCATTTTAAGAAATTTGAAAAAAAAGAAGTGAACTTCATCTGTATTTTATTAATAGGGCAATAAAAGAGACACAACAGACAAACCCCAAACATTCCTGGTTGAAAATGTGTGTGAGCACCATTTAACTGTACCACTAACAAACAGAGAAGAAATGTTTCTTCCAGTCCCTTCATGTCAATTGTTTGCAGCATTTCATGTATATCAAATTAGTTTGCTCTGTTTATGGGGGTACTTTGGAAAGGCACAGGAGAGGAAAAGAACATATATCCCCAAAACCAAGAAAATTACGAGCATACATTCACAAAAGTTRTCAGAGCCATTTTACAAAGCCACCCTCATGAAGGAAATCTATGTAGCACCCAGTTGCTAAAAYCAAAGTCCTCCAGCTACAATAGATTAACTTTACATTCCCCATTAAAACTTTCAAAAACATCTGAAATGTAACACCAGTGCAGGAAAACTATTTCCCTTTTTTGAGTATCAAAAATCACAGCAAGGTAGTGCTTCCATATGGATGATGCAGAAAAGCACCATTTATGTACTCGGCAACTGTGCACAGATTTTCTTCGCAAGTTTTCTTACACAGACAAGGAYTCTGGGGCGTAGTTAGCTTTACTCCTTAAAAATTATTTTGCATCTGTATAAAGAGGTTTACCTCTAGGAGCCATGGTTTTAGTTTTCTGTCCAGCAGAATATCAAATCCCAGAACTTCAAAGCAGACACTGTCACTTCCTGGAGCTTGCCCTGGCCTGCACATGCGATAAGCGTGAAGAACATGTGGCTCTGCAACTATCAGAGTCTTCACCACCAGCTCCTGCAGGGATTTGTTGCAGAAAAGTTCATCAGAGGACAAGAACCCAGCACATACTAAATGACAGTATTTCAAACTTTAATATTTTAAATTTCATTTACATACCTACTAGGAAAAAGGATTTAAAATACTAAGTAAATAGTCTGTAATTAAAAAAAAATATTCCTATGTAGTAACCTATATAACTTTATATAGTTCTAGACTATATTGTTGTACTTCCCGTGGTGCATGCAAACTTTGAGATGTGCAATAAATTAAATAGTGAAAGCAAATTGGTAACATAGTATAGTACAGCCAATCTTCATCCATTTCATKTTGCAATACAATTTTCAGCAAGTCTTCTCAGAATCATACATACAGCTTTAAGCTCTAAAAATCTCAAGCCTATTCCTCATTTAAAGRCACCTGTAACACAACCACTTCAATGCTGCTGGTGTAAGACCATAGATATATACAACACTGACTAATTTTGTAAATATTCACACTGTTTGAAAGAGCTTTTGATCTCTAGAAAAATGCTAACATTAAATTTGTAATCTGACTCTGAATTTAAGTCTTTTAAAACCATAATAATAATTTAGATTGTTTTGTGACATTTATTGTTGAGAATTTGGATTAATAAAGTGTCAAAAAAATCTGAATTGCAGYAAAGCAGATGGCAGAAGCAATTAATTTTCTAAAAATACACAAAATAAAGAAAAGTGCTTTAGTCTGTCTTACTGAAATATCACTCCAGAATTTGGAGACATCAAGATTATTTGTTTCTAGAAACTCAGTAAACCACTTTATGGAGCGTTTGCTTCCTTTGTCTTCTGTTTCRTCCCGTTCAAAGTGCTCATTATGTTTATTGACAGAATAGTTAGTCAGATGCATATACAATTGACTCTAAAAAAAGGAAGAAAAGACATTTAAAAAACCTTAAATAGAATTCTAAAATAGTCAATTCAAAATCATGTAAAGAAAAGTTTACATTAAATCACTAATGACATCAAACAGCTCATACTTRCAAATACACTTCGTGCAGATTTAATATTTCTGATTCTGAGAGATTTCATAACTGAATGTTCTATAGCCCTCTTACAACAAAACCAGGGCTTCTTAAGCCAGCTGCAGTCCACTGACCGAGCACCCAACATCTGGTTAGATATTATACCTGCCATTTTCACAGGTCTGTAAACAAACAGGTAGTAAATAACTACCAGAAAAAGTAAAGAGCAATTATCATTACTTAGAGAATGATTACATTMCASAAGAAGCAAACAATAAAGATGGYATTTTGAAGTGCTACTTTAAAAGTGCTAAAAAACACTCTGGCATCTGTTTCATAGACAATCCCACATTTCAGTTTTCACTGTAGCTTATTTATGARAAGTGTTCTCATGATAGTGATACTTTAAAATATCTTTTACATATAAACTCATCTGCCACGCTGATATCTGCCAAAATTGCTCATTTTTAACTGGCTGGTAGCCATACATCAGAGGGAGGTAAATCTCAAGACRTGCATTACAGAAATGACTGAGTGCTACAGTTCCTTTATGGAGCAAAATGTCACCAACAATAGACTCAKGTTATCAGTTGAATTTAAAGAAAGCATTCTCTTCCCAAGCACAATTTATAAATCATGATTTGTACATTTACATTCTCTCCCAGTACAGATATTAATTCAGCTTTTCACTTACACTGTGATGCCTGTCTTCATCACAGTGACAATTCTCTGTCATGTTTGATTACATACATGAGAGTAGAWGATATTCTAAGGTGGCCATAAACCTTCTGTTCCAATTCATCTTTGATAGATAACACAAGCCTTCTGCTGTCATTTATCTCACTACACTTCCTTATCTTTAAAAAACTTCATKAAATTACCAAAACTAATTGATTCAATTGCAAGCTAGTTAACAGTATATTGTAGCATTAGAAGCAATGGATTTCTCCCATGGCTTCGTTACTCCTTTAAAAATCATTCTGAAATCTATTGGTTTGAATCATCTTTCCATGAAATTCAAATTATTTTAGACAAAACTAATTATTATTCAGACTTTACAAAAAAAAAAAAGAAAAAAAATGCATTTGTTCATCTGAACTAATAGTCGAAGTTATTTGGTACAATGTCACTGTAGAACAATGTCATCCAAAGAACAATGTCATKAGTAACAAGCAGGTTATTTCATACAATAGCAACCTCCAGCATGAGCAGTTGTGAGAACACAGAAACAACTGCCTGTCCTGTTTATCCGCTCAGAGCATATTTCAGTGYTCCTAATGCCGAGATTAGCAGCAATAGAAAAATATTAAAAGCAAACYATTCCAAATATAGTACTGGCACACTTCCAAATATAGCATTTGGACTAGGCTTCAAATTGTACCTGCGTTTTTCAAAGCCACACCAAGAGAATAGTCACAATTCTAAGTTTCACACAGGCAAAAAGGCTCTATGATGTTGTCTGTTACATAATTACACTGAAACTGCTCTAAAAGCAATCGAGTACAGAGTGAGGTATAACAAACCCAAATCTACTAATGCTTCCCAATGCTGCAAATCTACTTCTTTCTTAGGCATTTTGGTCTGAGCCAAAAGAGAAGGGTTTACATCCCCCAACAGGGCAACATGCTACACAGTGGGACAAGAGGATGAAAATGTGCAAAATCTTTAGCCTGACCCTTACTATTCCTTGGTTCTCTCTAAGTTTACTGTCAGCCCTACTGAATCATCCTAAAGCTGCCAAGTACATACTCCTGGCCCTGCTGAAGCAGTCACTGACAAACAGCAGCAGCAGGAGGAGATTCCCTGGTGCTCAGGAACTGCAGTGAGCGCTGCTGCATGGTTCTCTCCTTTCTCCCAACACAATGGCTGAAACCTTGCAGGATCCTCAGCAAAGGCTCCAAACTTCATGCATGGTAAACAATGATCCAGCAGGAGATAAACCTTATTAACACCTGCCACCCCAGCTTCAGACTCAGATGAACATAAAAGCAATATGATTGGACTTCAAGTGATTTGATTTTCTTTATTTTTTCGGTTGATAACTTTTGCTTTCTTCTAAACGATATTTAAACACTTCAGCATACATACATGCAAAGTCATATCAAATTCTYATATGTAAGCAATAATATGGCTACACTTACGATTTTGATGGAAAAGCATGTGTTTAGTATCTTTCACATAAAATTTTTTCTCTTCATTGACAATACAGAAGTTTATACAGATAAACTCATTTCCCAGTTTATTTCATTTTGCCACCTTCAAACACTACACATATTAGTCTACACCACAAGCAATAAATTGCAATGAACTCCAACTTACCAAATTTGAGTCACTGGGGGGGTGATACTTTTCCGTGCCCATTCTCACCAGTCCATCATGATATAAAAATACTTTTAATGGATCACAGGAGGTTACAAGAATATACACACGTAAATCAAACTTGTAGCCTTCCATAAGAAATGGTTTGTCAAGATATTCCTGAACAATTAAGTGATCCTGAGCTTGTAACTTTTCTCCATTTCTTATTAAAGAGATCCTGGTAAAAACAAAAGTTATTTTAAAACTTGGACATTATTCTTTGAAACAGATWATTGTGGTCACCCAGACAAGTAGTCAGGCTAAAGTCTACCTGTACAAAGAGGCTTACATMTCTGATTTTTAGGGCAGAGAAAAAGTTCCATTCCCTTACAAGGCTTTTGGTTTCCTTTATTGTGCTTTAATTCCTTTATTGTCCTTTATTGTGCTTCACTAGATGAAAAAAGGCAACGAGCCATTTCAAAGTAACTTTCTGCTTGCTTTGATTCAACAATTTGTAATAATGGGTTTGCTCTACACTTARAAATTGTTTGGCAGAACGACCAGTCTCCAGCTTCTCTGATTACTCCCCATGCAGCTCTAAAAATAGATTTCCAGTCTTTGTCACAACTTCTGCCTGAGGTACAGGCTGCAAAGAACTTTCAGGGCTAAGCTGACTTAGGTGATGATGTTTGTGAAGCAGGACATTGATCTGTATGACCAAGGATGGCATACATGAGGCTCAGTATTTCTGTATTTCCAGTTTCTCACACCAAAATGAAACAAGGTTTATACATKAACTATGAACTTCCAGTCTCTAACTACATGGAATTTGAATAACTGTAAAAGCTAGTATTTTCAGTATACAATTATAAACCTAGCCTTCCCAGAAATCAGTTAGATTCATGATAAAATAACTGTGTTCTTAATAGTTGAGTTTATTTAAGGCTTTTGAAGCCTTCACCCAATACGTTGACTTTCACACAACTTGAAATACAATCTTCTTACTAATGCACAGCTCCTGTTAATGTTGTAMGTAGCACTGGATTTCACCTTTAAGGGTAAGAAGGCTGAATTTAATTCACAACTTACCCATGTCCCATTGCACCATTAGCTGGTTTGACTATGAAAGTTTTCTGTCTTTTTTTCTTCTTCAGTTCTTTTACATAGTTCTGAAACTGTGTGTATTCTGCAGGAAAGATCCATGTTCGAGGAATGAAACTGTACTCCTGAGGCTGACTCTTGATCATTCTGCAAARGAAAGTGTAAATGTGTTAAAATCTTTTGACTACTTTGATGTTTCAATCCTCAGGATTAAAAAGCACTTAATGACAATTTGACAAGAGAACTTTTTTTTCCAAAATTCTGTAATATGAAAGCACACTCCTGCACTTAATTAAGAATAGTTAGAACTCTATTRCATATTCATATGAGTGTGAATATGTTATACTCAAAAGCAGACTGTCTTGTGCTTGCTTATGTGTTTATTATGTTAGTGGCATCCATCTCATTTCTTGGCATCCATCTCACTGCTGTTACAATTTTTGGCCAATTATTCAGATGACTTCATGCTATTCCTATTCTAGGAAATACTGAACTTCTAATAAACCATGGAGTTTTTTGGGGGAAGGAAGTGGTATTGGGGAATTATTTTAGTTTTCATACTGGTATGTGTTTGGGGAGGTATGAGGATCAACACACAAAAAGAAGAATTGGTTAATTTTCAGTTTCTTCCTGGGTGCAAAAAATAATAATAACAAGGACTGAATGTAAAATTTAAATTGAAGCAATTTAAGAAGAGGCTTTTGTTCCTTTTGAAATAATTTTTTAATAAGGAATTGCAGTAAAATACTTTGGCACAGGCCAAGCAAATAACGGATTTCCTATATAGGACAAATCACACAAGCTTTGATTTGTGTCTGATCCCAGCATATTGGGATTAAGATTCCAAGAGCACCTAATTTAATCAAAAATAAGCAAAGACATGCAAAGCAAGACTAAGCAGGGAGTGAGTAGGGGAGAGGGGTGGAACAGAAGAACTAAAATAAAATAGAGTTGCTTTAATGCTGGTTAAAGGAGCAATGGGGACCTGGTGTTCTCTGCCTATTGATATCATAGCTCCCAGCAGAATAAACTCAAGTCTTTGCTAAGTTACATACTGGTGCAGCTAGCTTATTTCAGGGACTCAGAGTACCTGGAAATTTCTTCAGTTGATTATTTTTTTAAATGCCACTATGATGTACTTTAATGCTTTTTAATTAAATACAGAATTAGGTATATTTCTCCTTTTGAAAAGTAACAGTATCAGCATAACTTAAATGTAAAAGAGGCAATATTATTTCCATTTTTCATTTCTACTATGAGCCCACATAATACTCCTGGGCAGACACTTTCTCTTTAAGTGGCTAAAATACTTATGGAAAAAACAGAGCTGTCAGCCACATGTGTAGGGCTAGGACTGTAGCCAAGCCCTACTGGTATAATGGATATGCTGTCACCAAACTGTGTAGCCAACTATCCAACAAACACTCTGCAGAAACCACAATAGCTATAGCAATATTGCATGAGATTCAGTGCCTCTGCAGCACCATTGTAATTGTTATCTTTAYAAATATGGTTTGATGAAAGACACTCAAAAATCAGGAAAACTTTTTAAAAATGTAAGTAGATATTGTAATTCCTAATTCATGCATATTGTTAAAATACTCTCCATCTGCTCTATATTTACAAATGTTATTACTTCGCCAACTGAGTAGCTTATCTAGGCAGAAACTGTCCTATTTTTAGGCAAAAAAGCAATTTCTGTGTTAGTTTAAATCCCACTCCAGATTATCATATGCATCCTGTTATATACTGGAGACCTGCCCTTTAACTTACTCGASGGTTTCAGTACACACACTCCCTGCTCACTGAATACAGCTTCAAGGTATTCCTGATATAYTGATAGTATTTGTGACTGCAAGTATATCAGTTCTATAGGCCTTTTCTTTTTGATGCATAACTGGGTAGATTACAAACTTAATAACATGAAGTGGAATACTTCAGCATTGTTTATAAGTTCTGGGGCTCACTAAAACTTCCAAAAAAAGAATTCAGCTCTGTTCTTTCCCTGCTTGGCCCTGTTTAGAAAGGGCTTAGGAACATCATCAAGTAGCCTGTGGAATCAAGGCCTATTCCATTACAATAGCCCTRTTTTTCAGCACATCTGCTTTCCACTACTGTAACCACTTTTTCACTGTGATGCTGTATCATTTAGCCTTTGCTGTCCTTATCAGGAGGACTGAGAAATAAATAGCAAATTATTGTTCTTCTGAGTACTATTTTAGCTCACAAATGTAGTCAGACTGTGCTCTTGATCTCAGAGTGCTTTTGGTACAAAAGAATCAAAGGTTTTGAACAAAACATAGCTTACTAAAGACATGACTTGTCARTCTAATAACACAGGTCCCACTGCCTACACGTCAAAATCTTCTGACTTTTCAAGTATGGAAAGTTAGGAGGTATGTATGGATGAGAATGGTGCTTGGTCCATGATCAGTTAATGAACCTTTTAAATATAATCAACAAAGGAGCAGGAAAAAACAGGATCTCATAGGGTCTGTGCCCCTTCCCATTCACCCTGTGCACTTTCGCCCCTACTTACTGAATTCATTCTGTCACCACACTTATCCTTCTTCACTTGAGGAGCTCTCATGTGAAGGATAGCTGGCTCTAAAATGGCACTACTATTGTAACTATTTCTYTTCTGTGCTCTGATAATTATCTTTGAAAATGATGCTCATGCCTGCCTTTGTTTCTCAATTACATTCCTCTTTACATCTATTCCATTATTCTGTGTTCCTACTTTCTTTGCTGAGTTGTTTTCTTTCATATTTCACATGTTATGTATTGCACTGCTCCCTTCCACCCTTCCGCATGTGAAAACTACATTGTCTTATGATCCAGAGTGCCTGGATATGGCCTGCAAGAAGAATTCCTGAAGTGCATTTCCTCCTGAATAGTATTTTCCTCTCAAAGTAGGTAGATTTATTCTTTCACTCCATTCCCAACAGCTTGCATAAAAATGAAGGCTGAAATCAATATAACAACAAATACAGAAGTAAGAGCAAAAAAAGAGTCTATTCTCTACCAATTCTCAAGATAGTTTAATTATCTCTCCAATGATAGTAATCAGTAGTCAGTAGTGAGAATAGAAAAGATGCAGAAGTAAAGCAAGACAAGAGAATTAGTGTTTCTGCACATTCAAATTTTAAGACAGAACAAGGGCTGTAGGAAACAAAATCCTGCATTCCATAGGCAAGAGCCTCTTCAACCACGTATCCCAACTTTAATGATTTCACCAGCAGACTCAAGGCATATAATTTTGATTTTTATACAGAATGACTACTAAGTATTGTAAGGCCAGTATTGAGACAAAATACTCATACCCACAGATACAGCCCTTCTATATCTCCTGATATTAAGTCACAAYACAGATGTTTGACCCAGAGTTATAATGTAAGAGAAACTATTCCCTTCTTATCTAGATGTACAATCTCAACATTGAGTAACACTAAAATGTGTTTCAAACACAGAATTGAGTAGGCTGAGAGAGGTATAATCAGACTGTATTTGAAAGAAATAAAGAAATATACATGGTAACAAAAGCTTTTTGTCCATTTTCCCTATTTTTTTTTTTAATATCATAGAACTGCAGCAATACACAGGKGTACCACTGAGTACCAACAACTGTTTCCAAGACCTCTCCAAACACCTGTYTGCCCCCGCATGCTATCTCTGTGTTTTTACTTCGAGTCTGGAAGGGGCAGTGAAAAGTGTTTATGCAGTATTTTTGACACAGGGGAGCTCTAGTCCACATGGAGGACATGGAGACACCACATTAATGCACATAATATTTGCATCATAATGGTTGCATAGTTCTACATGCTATATTTTCTAGTTACAAAACAGAAAAGGAAAGAGAAAGAAATCGAGAGAGAGAGAGGAGATGTCACAATAATTACACTCATATGAAAACAAATTCTGTTCTGTTATCAGTTAATACAGTGTAAGTAATATTGAGGGCCAAAAGACTGACTCTATTAATAAATGTTCTACAAATGAATTTAGATTACAATAACCAAAATATTAACATATATTTACCCTCAAACCTTTCCTTATTACCAGGCTATCAGATCATTATTTAGTATTGTTTTCTTACAAGTCTTACTCACAGATTCTCAGCTAGGATAATTCCTCAGAACCCAGCTATTCCACGAGAGTAAGGAGAATTTGAAATTGACAAATGAGCCTCACTGACTTATTTCTTATATAAACATTAATATGCTTCACTTTTTTTAAATTTCATATATGCAAAGATATAGCCATTAATTACTTTAGAGAAATACTATCATAGAWCTGGTCAGGTTGGAAGGGARCACAGTGGGCCATCTGGTTCTCCTAAAACCCATTGCACAGGATTATGTCCAGATGCACTATCCAGCCACATACCGTTATTTTTTTATGTTCTACCATTATGGGATATATACCTGGGTGTATCTTGTAGTAGGTTTATTGTACAGTAATTCAAGACTCACCTGCATTCTGCAGTGTGTAGACAGAGAGGTGAACAGAAATAATATTCCACTCAAGTCAAYTGGAGAGATAAAGTAGCCCACTCCRATACCMCAGATCCAGGACCAAAGCTGAAGTTATTAAACTTGGTCCTCTCATAGTTTCTTAGTAAAAATAAACAAACCTCACAAGCAATAGTTCTGTATATTACTGCATTAAATACTACAGCTGGAAAGTTTCTTAATATTAAAAGAAATATTACTTAGTCATGTTTCTTGCCAGAAAATCCTTTCTGCATATCTCTCCCATTCCTGGAAAATGGTTGATTCTCTGAAGAAATAGAAAAAAAAAAGAAAATTAATTGAAATGTTTGGGGTTCCTGGCATACCTTATACAATCATTTAAAACACTCAGCTGGATGCTCAGGAAAACATAATTACTGATACATCKAAATTATTAAAGATAGTATCTTACACTATACTGTATATTCTTACCAATACTAAAGATGCTGTAAATTSTATTCTCTTCCTTCAATACATGTGCCCACTGATTTAATTTAATACATGAGACTATCATACTTTTATTCACAAAGCTATCTAGAAATAAAGAATGCATACACAAAGTAATGGTAAAAAACCAAATTATTTATCCACAGAACWGGGAAAGAGCTCTGGTTGTCAATTTACTGCTTAAAAGCTTATGAGAAACTTATAAATGATGTCTTACATCTTCTTTTAAACTGATCATTCACAACATCCAACTGGGAGAAAAAMGCCTGAGAGAACAGCCCCTAATATTTACACACCAGATTCCAAGTGGTATGAACAAATAACTCTGGAAAAGAGACTAGGATTTTAATATATGCAGTGGCACAGCCTTATTGCARCCGGGTTTGTTGTGTTTTCTGKGGGSYTTTTTTTTCCCTYCACAAAAACAGAATTGAGCAGTGWCAATTACTGAATATTTCAGAGTGAAGTGAAGCAGCTCACTGAAACATGTCAAAAATCTTAACTACCACTGTACCTGATAGTTCCGAAGCTCTGCAATCTTCTCTTGCTGCACAGCACAATCGCTCCAGATAAGATTTGCTGTTTCATCTTCATCACGTGTTTTCACAAACCCCATTTCTTGTATTACTACACGTACTAYGGAGAAATCAMAGACTTAGGGACTATTTTGAATCTCTAAMACAGATTAATTTCCCACATTTAAAAAAACAATTAAGATTTTAAACACTTCCAATACAGAACCCTTTGTCTGAGAACAATGTCAGCGTAGCAAGCTATTTATCTTGTAATATTTCCATCAGTCTATTGCAAACCTGCCATTACAATGTTACAGCACCTTATCGTGAGGCAGGAATCAACACAACCACTGATRGGAACTGAAAAGAGCTTCAAGGTATTTCCTAATCATCCAGCAAAAATCCTCATGTACAGCAGTTAGACTTTATCTTGGTTATGCAGTAAATTAATTTTAAAACAGTGATGACTATACGTGTCATGGCAGATTGTGACAAAAATGCTTCATTACACAAGGTAGAGTGTTGCAAAAGMAAATGCATGCATAACTTCAATTTTTTTAAAACACAGACTGATTATGTGCCATGCACAACTCTGATTCTAGGAAAAAAAATATATTAGTACCAAGCATTAAAATACAATGAACAGATTTTATTGAGAAGCCTCTCTATAACAGAGTATTTMACAGTGAATTTACACTCTCAACTTTCTAGGCTTTAAGTAAACTTCCAAACACACATAACAGATATTTAGAGAGTTCTTCCACTGCCTTCTGGATTACCTAAGTTTTTATGTTTCAAGGCCCTTTCCTGAAATGGAATTAACAGATGGACACTGTTCAAAGCTATGTATTCAACAATATAAGAAAATCCCAGGTTTCTTACAAAAGAAACTCCTTCAGAAATTTCTGTCAGCTTCATGCAAAGTCCATTAATCAGTAATTCTCTCACATCAAAGGCATGCAAACAAAGTGTGCAGTTTCCTACCAATTTCATATTTWGTGCCAGCAATATTTGCAGTGATGACTCCATTCTTCTTCTTCTTCTTTCTGACTTTTCTTTTAATTGTGCTCTGATAGGGTAGTTCTGAACTCAAAGTCAGAGGAGCAGTTCCTTGGTTATCTTTGAAAAACAATGTTACAACTMTCAACATTTTTATATCTCAAATAACATATACAAATTAACTAAAAATACAAACACATACTTCATCACAACTTATAGATACAAGCATATCAAATAATTCTTAGGGAATATTAAAAATCCAASACTAGCATACCTCCCTCATTAGGAAAGGATGGCATTATAACCTAGGATAGTGCAGAAATAGAGTTCAGAKTCTGTTCCAAGTTCTCAGTAATGGTGAAACTGTCAAAGCCAAATTCCTTAAAACTCCAGTCATGCCATTTCAGTCTCCGGTTATAGAAAATATTTGTTCTGGAATGGATAGATATCTGTATTAAAAAAAAAAAAAAAAAGTAAGAGAGACTTCGTTACAGAGAAATCCTGAAAAAAAAAACCAGCAGGAAACTAAATATGAGAACACTTTTAATAAGACATAKAAAGAACTGATATTTTAAAAGATTGATCAAGCTATTATAAATACAAAACTTTGTTCATTGCAGTTCAATTATTTGTTTTCTGGGAAATAATAACTTTGCAGTGTTAGTTTTCAAAATGAAATTGTATCACCTCATTTTCTGATTTTCATTTGGGTATGGGACATTTTGGATATGAAAATAGGTAACATTGAATTCAATCAATACTGCTATTTTCTATCTCCACAAAGCTCAATGAATTTATAGTATTTAAAACAATGTTTTAAGTAAAAAAATAAAATCAGACATATTATAGGTTTTCAGGTACCAAGTGAGAAATAACTGAAATCATACTAATAATGTTTCCCCTTTTTCACTTTTCAATGTTTTTTAAAGCAATTGTCCAACAACCACATGGTAACATGGCTGCAGTTTCATGAGCACTTCATGACACAACAGACTTGGTTTGAAGACATTTTGATTAGACAAACATACACATTTTCAGTTTCTAGAGTGAGCATTTATTTACATAAAATGCTTTTTTTACATCTACACTGATACAAAATTCCTTTTTCTTTTTTTCCCCTCATGAATACAGTGCTACATGAAAAATCACACATATTAAGATGTTTTGTAGGTCCAGCTTAAGCACATAAGAACAATGGGTTAAAATATTAGGAAAAAAACATGGGTTGAAATATTAGGAAAAAAACCATGGGAATAAATCACCTCTAAACACACTGCTTCATGACTTCGGGCATGCAGCACTGTTATACCAAAGCCTACAAGGAAACAAACGCTGTCTTTGGCAGGCGCCTCAAATCTACAAGTTTTCAAAACATATACAATATGTTACTGATCTTTAAATGCTTTCATTTCTTTTCTGCAGTTATATGTGTAGCCAAAGCTCCTTACCCTAGCTTTACATTAGTTTATATTGCCGCTTTTGGTGATTGCAAGATCTTTTCAAAATAGCTTTATAGAGAGCACAGGGAGTTACTTCTGCTATAAATAGCAGGAAATTACAGCAAAGTCAAATTCAGCCATGACTTATGATGCAAAAAATATTTGGTCATAAGACTGGACAAGATGTGCATTAACAAAATTACCAAAACAATATATAGAAATCCACTTTTTTTGTCTATTTGTGTGGGTGTATACAACAGATGAGAGAGAGATRTAAGTATGTTCTGGACAAATCACCTGCCTGTTAAGAAAATATAAAAGCAGATATTTTGAGCTGCAAGATCTAATTTCCTTTCAAGACAGGCATTTACCCTTAACAGCTCAGTAGTGTAAAAGGATAAAAAGAACAGATTATGGTACTCTTATGACTGTCACAAATGTACCAGGAGCCAAATTCTGCTTTGTAACAAGACAACCAAATCTCCCTCATGTCCATTTAGTGCCCCTGTGTATTTATCCATAAAGAACAAGAGAAGTTTTATACACAGATCCAGTCAATCAGCACAGCAGCAACACCCAGCCATTTTGAAGTTTGAATGTTTTGGATGACATTATCTGAGGAGGTGGCCTGAAAGTCCTCGGGCACACTGGCATACTAAAATTAGGCACAGAGTTGGGAAAGCAAAGCATTTGTCCTCCTTAAAACCGCTGTGAAGGAAAAGCAGTGCTGGGCACAGTGACTCACTGGATATTGCATGTTATCTGTTTCTCAGGCTAAGAATACCACCATGGTACAAAACWTGTTTAGTTCCTGGGAATAATACTGAAGTACATCTGTTAGCCAATTAAGGATGTATGTTCTACAAACATACAAAAATGCCTGGCAGTTGTTTCTTTGCTGCACTGACTAAAAACTAATGAATTTGGAAGAACGTTAAGAGGACTAACATTTCCCTGTGAGAAATGCCAGCCCTTTACTAACAGGGCATGTTTCACAAGTTGATATGCTAATAAAAAGCAAGCAGCTCACAGAGCTTTCATTYATCTTACAATCACAGAAAATTATGTGCACAAAGTTACTATAACACACTGTATTCTGTAGGTGGACCATAAAATTCCAAACTGCACCGCACTGCTGAATTACTGCTTTTCTTCAGACAGACGCTAGTCTTCTCAAAAGAATACTCTTTAGGGTTTAAATATCATGTACCAACACTCAGGGTCTGTGACCAGTCTACTTTTAAGCACGCATACATGAGTTGATGGTAAAGATAATCGCCACCTTTAGAGTATTCTGTGGACAATTAGCAGTTCAGCCATGTGGAAAGCAAAGTAATGGGACTGTACTCTGTACTCAGACTTATTTTAGGATTTTAACTTCTCACAAGAACCATCCCATATCAATAAACTGTATTCTGACTTAAGCTTGTATGCAATAATTCAAAACTGTTTTACAACTGCTTGGCATCTCTTTAGTAGCCCATCTTCAACTATTTCACTGAATAGTGAAGCACTAGCAGTTCTTAACCATTAGTTTTCCAAAGTATTTTACAKAGGATGCAGTCTGTTCTTTTGCTCCTTTCCAAAGGTCCAATGGCATGGGACAGTCTCAGCTTTTCCTACCTTGTCAAGTGACAGATGAGAGATACTGCATCTCCTCTGGGGGTATGCATTACCCAAAGCASTGAACTGCTGCTGTGATTTGTAGGCTGAGCTACAGGAGCAGTAYATTTGCCCCTGTTTAGACTTCCCTGCTTTGTGTGCCCCCGGTGCAGTAGCATGAGATGTGCCAATTCCACAGCAAGAAAATCTAATACCACCCTACTGAGGAAGCTGGAATCTTCCCAGGTAAACTGCAACTGTTCCTCTAACTACCCTTCAGAGGAACCACTRTCTAATCAGAGAAATGGACCACTTGGGAGAGAGAAGAATACATCTCTGGGAGCAATGCATGARGGGCTGCTGCTGAGGGGAAGGAGCTGCAGGGAGAAGAGCGCTCTGACAGAGCACTGAGAGGCAACACGGCAGGGCACAGGCAGCCACAAGCTGCTCCTMCACATCTTTCTTTTTTAATTCTGTACAGCAGAAACCACCCTAAAGTTACTTTGTTCTCTGACCCAGATCCTCCCCAGGCACCTTCCTCTAGCTCACATCTTGAGATTTGTCATTACTGCCAAGCCCTACTCCCAGGTCAGAGCACAGCTGAAGGGAAAGACCTGCAGCACAGACTGCTCTGCAGACAGCCTCTGCCAGTTACAGGGCAAAGCTTATTGCARGACTCACCCAGATCATGCCCAGTAACAGCAGCAGCATTGTCAGGTTATGATTACATCAAATTCTGAGTCAGTTCTTATACCTGTGAGAAGTTTTTACTTATAAAATAAGCATAACCTATAACCTGCATTCAGCTACAACAGTGTAGAGGCATTTCTCGCTAGTAATCTACCTGAGAGACTTGTTTCTAAGAGATTGCTTTTAATAACATCGAAGAAAGCATTCTATTTTCAAACTGGGACTTGTGAAGCAAGTCAGCTGTCAGAAATCTCTGAATTCACACTGTGGCAGAAAAGGATTGCAGTCCCTGCTGCATATACCATTTCCCTCCTGATATCCTGGTACACATAAATGGGTGAAGGTTTGTTGCTCAACCATACAGATTCAAGGGCAGCTGAACAAAAATGGTTAACACATAAATGGAGAAAGACTTGTGAACAAGAAATGAATGCGTCTTCATCAGGTTAGCACATTATTATATAAACAAGCACTTTGACTGAAAGTGTTCTGCAGGGAGAGAAAGAWGAGATGTTATCTTTACAGCTGCCTGGCAAAGGTGTGAGAGTGACAGTAGGAGAGGTACATTGCACACAATCCTGTCCTAGAAAGGCACAAAAGAAAAAAAAAATACAAAGAAAAGAAGGATCTTTTTTTCCCTCCAGGGACAGGATACTCTTGCTGAAGATGGAAGTGTTGCACACAGACTGAGAACACAGCAGATGTTCAAGTCCATTTAAAGGAACAGTCTGAGCAAGAYGTGAGAGTGCCTTGGTAAAGAGCAGGGGACAATGGAAAGAAGTGGTTTCATAGTCAATGGAATGATTCTTTTACAAGTTGTAATATATTCTAGAATATCAAAAATTAAAAGTATTTTTCTGCTGTTACACAAATTAAGTGCATCATAAAAAGTTAGAAAATTGCCCCMAAAAAATTCTTCCTGGCCTAGATAATATGTAAGTATTTTTGAACAAATCCCTCTGTAATTTCCTAGTTTTTTTCTCCACACTACTCAAAAGTGACCTCTGCTTTTCATCAACCTTTATGTCTTGATGCAGTCTGGACTCGAAAAGGTTATTTTTAGTCTCTAAATAGCAATTGTAATTGTATGTCATTAGCCGCCCACCTTTTTTTCCCCCAAACAGTAAGCATCCCTGAAAAAGATTTAATTGATCAGATCAAAAAAAGGTAGAGAAAGTCAAATTCAAACTGAAAAATAACACAGTGCAATTTGAGAACCTCKTCCAAAGAACGCAAGTCAATGAGATTCTTTAACCTAATTTGGATCATATCAATAACTATGAAACCATGACTGTGCACCCTAGGAAAAAGAGACTGGGTTGCACATGCACATTTAAAATGGATTTAATCTGATGGATTTAATCACTAGAAATGATAAAATCACCTGCTACACAAAAGTCCATGCTCCACAGCCAAGACAACACTCTATTACCCAGTGTGCTGTTTTTAATGTGAACTTCTTCCTTCCTTCTAAGCAATTGTGAAACTACTGGTGCCCAGTTTGAAAAGTTCCATGGGTTATACATGTGCTTAACTTCACATGCATGAACAGAAAACAAGACTTCAGRTCTTAAGCCATGGTACATATGACAAGACCTCTCAAAGAAAACTAACATCTGACATAGCTAGGTGAAATGCTACACAAATGGATTGTCGTTTTAATTTCCTGCGCTCTTTAGATACAGGTAAGTAATCACTCATCAACAATGGAATATTTT